AAGAATTTATAGATATATAGGATTGCTTAGAGGTCGAGATATTCGTCAAATAATTTCCTCTGACCTTCGTAAATAATCTTTAAAAATCTATGAGCCAGAAGAATTTATAGATATATAGGATTGCTTAGAGGTCGAGATATTCGTCAAATAATTTCCTCTGACCTTCGTAAATAATCTTTAAAAATCTATGAACCAAAAGAATTTATAGATATATAGGATTGCTTAGAGCTCGAGATATTCGTCAAATAATTTCTTCTGATCTAGTAAGAAATCTACGAACCAGAAGAATTTATAGATATTTAGGATCAATTAATTTAAAACATAATAATGTAATTTTGAATTTTGAGTTGTTACACGTATAGCAACAGTATCAGGGAAATAAGGGACATTTAACAGCTGGAAGAGGACTGAGAAAAATTAGGAAGAAATTATTGATTTTATTACTAGCTTATCAGTAAAAATATTAAGTTTTAATGATTTATCGATGCATCAATATTTAAACTGCAGAAAAAGAAAAAAAATTTAAAAAAAATTGCTTTGTCCATTTTTAGTGCCAATAAAAGTTTAGACTATACGATTTTTTTTGTTGCTCTGTGGAGTTTATTTAAAATTGGTATCGAATTAAAATATGGCGTCATATAAACCCACACTCACCATATATACCCAGAAATATTCATCGACAGTTTTTTAAATAATCTCATTTACTATGGCACCCCTATGCCGGATCATATCCATGAAAGTTGATAAATTTTGTAATTTTTATAATTTTTTGTATATTTGTAGTGTATAAATTTCTATTTATTTTTGTACTTTGTATACTTTTGTTAAAAAAAAAATATTGGTGGTCTGAAAATAGGCGTGCATGCGAACAAACGTTTATAGAAAAATATTTAGAGAATTTTAAAACAAAAAAATCTTATTTAGTCTATCTTAATTAGTTATTCCTATTTAGTTAATTTTAAACTGCTCATTCAAATAATTAATAATGATTAGAAGAGTTATATGTTGCTCTTTTTCATAATTTCTTGCATTTAAAATTCGTTTCAAATTAAAGTTTGGGATTTCAATTTTCGAAACTTCTCAATTTTCTTGTATAAATGCATCTTTAAGATTGATTAAAAAGAAATCTATTAAGCTTAAATGCTATTTTGAATTTGAAATAAATTAGCCATTCATTCTGAAATGATTAAAATAAGGGAATGATGCTAAAATGAGCTTTAGGAAGCTTTTCCAGGGCATTAACCACTTAAAAGACAGGGTTTATAACTTCTGCAATTTATATTTGTGCTTTTCTTATCTTTATAATGCGAAATTAGTCTATAACTTGAAATTTCATTTATCTAGAAGATCTTTGAAATGAAAGTTTTAATAAGAATAAATTATAACTATACGTGTTTTTTTATGCTTGAATTATCTCAACCTTTCTTCTATTTCTTTTATGTAGCAAAATAAGTTTTTTCTTTTATTATTTTTCTTTTAACTTGTTCTATTTTTTAAAAAAAAATGAACTTTAAGGAAACAAATTAGAAGACGAATATAATAAACAAAGTAGGGCTTGAATTCAAGATTTTGGTTAATTTTATGCGTGATTCCTAATGTATTATTTGGTACTTCTTTTTAAAAATTTTCTAAAAAAATGAATAGTGAATGGCGTAGAAGGGTTATATAATAAGTATTGAAAGATTCTTATTTCACTTTTGAATGCTATGTTATATGATAGTTTAAATAACATTAATTTCAAATTTATTCATTTCACTTTCCAACAATTAGTTCTGATTTCTTAAAGAAAAAATAATCAAGGCATCTCATTCTTGAAATAAAATTGATAGCTACTAACAATTAAATATATATTGCTAGTGTATGAACAATGAGTCATTTTCATTGTTAAAAACAATCTAAGCTTTTGTAAAACCATTTTTGGCCATTCTAACTTGTGCCTTCAAGATTGAATGTGCTTCTTAGAGTTCTTGCTTTGCAGCAAATTGATTTTAGGAATTGTTTCCTGCGTATTGATAAAAAGTTCGAGAAAGCTCGGAAATATCACTGATAACATGCAGTGTGGCCGGTATTTATATAAATCTCCTGATTTTTCAGGTCAACATCACCACCACAAAAGGGATGCCATGAAGATTTTGAAAGAAAATCATTTTGTATGCGTGAGCAAACTTGGGTTTGGTTCCTTCGGCGAGGTGTACAAAATGATTGACTTATTTAGCCGAGAAGTTGCCGTGAAAATTGTTCCCCAAGAAGTCGCTAGGAAAAGCGAGATTGAAATTTGGCCAAAATTGTCTCATCCAAACATTATCCCCCTCCTCCTCAACTTCCATAGCCCGAATGTAGCTATTTTTGTGATGCCCATTCAGCGGAACACTTTGCTACATTCAGTCCTAGACAGGCATTTTTTTAATCAATCAGGTGCCCTAGGCTGCTTCAAATCATGGCTTCATGGCACTCTTTGTGGTCTGAATTATTTGCACTCAAACGAGACCGGTCACTTGGATCTAAAAGCAGATAATGTGTTAATTTCGTATGATAACAGAGCAGTTATCAGCGATTTCACTTTCCTTGCCTCAACATCGAAGGCAATACCAAGGTGAGCAATTAAATATTTGCTTATAGTTTGTTGCAATACATTGCTTAGAGTATTTTAAGTTCAGTTAATTAATTCAGTTTTTTTAATATTGGCATAGTTTTAAAGTATTATTAAGATTATTATTAGCTTATAATCTTGTTGGCATATTTACACTGAGAACAAACTAGTGCACAGCCTGTTCTACTTCGCTCGCAGATCACCGGATCATCAAAGCGGGAGTTCCATCCTTTTTGCAGAGAACCAAAATTGTGATGGCATGTCTTCGGATCATCCACAGAGTTGCTTCCAAAACCACCACCAATAGCCCATTGTGGAGCTCTAGCGCGACGTAAATGAATTACAACTACAGATTTTAATACATTATCTTATTGAATGAAATCGATATATTATGAATCACTAATTCTATAACAATCACGTTTTTCTCACTATTACATCGAAATGTAAACATAAAATACATTTATTATAATTTTCTTATTAAAATGTTCTTTGTAAATATATTTCAGTATACATGTTTTTAACACTAAAAAAAGCAAAATTTTTATCAGCAGAAGAAATGGCTTCCCCAGTTTTAACTCCGACAACCTGCGTGCGAAGTTACTTTACGGCAAAACAGGGTACCGATGCCATACCCTAGGTCACTTCGCAGGCTGATCAAAGAAGTCACCCACCTGCTCACCAAAAGCAGCCAGAGATGCTAGCTTCTAAACTGTGCCTTACCATCAGTCTACAGTGGGACTTGTGTATTTTTAAATCACTGCAATGTTAAATATTGAAATGGACTTCAAAATGGAATGAATGGAATGTTTTCCTTTACATAAATTTTAACTTTAACACAGAAAAAAATGATTAAAATGAATATTAAAATACAAAATGCACACTTCAAGCTTTACTTTTTAATTTCTCTTGTGCATTTATATTTTCATTTTTCTCGTCAAGGCTCCTTAAAACTGTAATGGTATGTTTGCCATCTTGAGGCTGAGTAAGATTTTGAATTCTTAAACTTTCTTCATTTCATTATGAACCAGGATGAGTTTTGACTCGGTTTGAGTGTGCTAAAAGAATTTTTTTTTTTGCAGATCTGAACTTGGATTGCCGTATATATACAGGCCTCCAGAGGCCTTCGAGAGTGAGGCAGTAGTTGAGGGCAAAGCGTTTGATTTATGGGCGTACGGAATGATGGTTCTGGAGCTTCTTACCAACCAAGCTTTTGGCAGAACATCATCCTACGTCGGAAGTTGGCAAAAGGATATTTATCCTAATCTTTTCAGCCTTCTTCAGGTAAATAGATTTTTATGCATTTTTATAAATTTTTACTTAACTTTAATTCAACCTAAACTGACTCAAAGCATATTAGATTTCGATCAAAACTAAATTATAAAAAATTCAAATTAATCTTATAAAAATTATGTTTTGCATAAAAAAAATCATTTTTAAGTTTTTTTTTAAAAAAAAGCTAACAATTAAACTAAATTTTATGATATGATTAATGTATTTGTTGATAAATTAATAATTTCAAGATATATTTATCGAATTTTATGATTATCTTATTTCTTGTATTTATTTAGTATTCCTGTAAATACATCTTATCCAATATACACTCCATTTAACGACTTAAATAGAGTGTTTTTGTGAAATAGATGATTTAGAGCAGGGTTTCTTAACCTGTGGTTCATGGACCCCTTAGGGGTCCATGGGTCATAATTTAGGGGTCCGTTAACTTTTCCTAATTTTTAAAACGTTTGGATCAATAATATTTAAATAACGTTGACTTTTTTTTCTAAACGGTGAAAATACATATTTGAAACTAGGTGATCGAGATACCCTAAATTCAGTGCGGACAGCACACAGCCCTCTATCCCTGTCATATTTTTAACAACCTCCACTAACCGGCATTCAGTTTGCAACATCAGGGGCAACCCCCTGATGACGTCCGCTGTGCTAGTTTTATCAACCCCTATCAAGCTACTAGCATTTGACACCTTGTCCAGGTTACTAGATCTAGAAGTTTTTACTAAGAAGAAAGCCCAGTTTTTGAAATCTGGAACATTAACCAAACTTGCATTTGGTATTTCGTGAAAACCTCTAGTTGAGGCATTACTCAAAGTTGCATATCGTATTGTCAAAAGCAAGAAACCGCTTAGTATTGGAGAGACGTTAATTAAGCTTTGTGCGCTGGATATGATTGAATTAGTTTGTGGACTGGAACAAAGAAAAAAACTTGAGGATATTCCATTATCAAATGATGTGATACATTCAAGAATAGTTGAAATTTCTTTAATATCTTGAAACAGATCATCGATAAATTGAAAGCATCGACATTTCCCTTTAGTATGCTACTGAATGAAACTACAGACATCTCGAACTGTAATTAACTTCTTGTTTTTGTTCGTTGCGTGTCTCACTGAGGAATTCTTATTTTGTGAGT